AATTTGGTCTTCCAAGAAATGTATTTTTCAACTTTGAATTTATAAACCAATTGATTGCTGACCTTTTTAATAATTAATGGCAAAGAACAAAAACAACAACAAAAAAAGCACCCTTGTTTTAGTCTTCATGTCAACCACTGTGCATTTTTCAGGTCAACAGTCAAAATTATTTGGCAAAAGTATAGATTGCAGCTTAAAATTTGATTGCCTATTTTTTCTTGGTGGAAGAAAAATGATTTGAGTTAAGATTGTAGCATTCAAGTTGCTCATTATCAAACTGCTAACTCAAAGAGCAATCAAACATTTTTAATTGTAAAAAGACAAAATCTCTCAAAATGTAAAATCTTGCTATTTTTTTCTGCTAATCCACAACTGTTGTTTACATTCACTACCTATGCTGAGAACTGTTTGTAAGGATGTTCTGCGTCCACATCATGGGAGCTCAGTTATTTACAATTATATGTATGAAGCTGAATATATGGGTAGAACTAATCAATGGTTGGAGATTAGAATAAGTTGTTTAATACTTCAGGTTCAATGATTGCAGAACACTTAATAAGTAACACGGTGTGGACTATGTCATTTACCAGGGATTTCTTTACCATAATCAGCAGAGTTGCACTCCAATTACCATTGGAAAATATTAGAGACATTATACATTTGGTCTAGGTAGCCATTCTTCTGTAAGCAAGTGTAAGGGATGGCTGCTAGGCCTTAATATAATTGCTGTGTGATTATATATACATATATTTCTTTTTCTCTTCTGATTCCCTGGCAGTTCTTAATGTATTTTTTTAAAATGTTGTGCACACAATTTACATGTTTGTCCTCATTTGGCTACAAAGAGCAAGGATTGAAAACCAGTGAATCTCTTCTTTGTTATTTTCTTGTTCATTGTTGCTATTGTATTGATTCATTCCCCCCATGATGATTTATTTTTATTACCTTACTCTTCTTCCTTCTGTTGTTTATTAATATATAATTTTATAACATACCATACCATTCAGTCTGAAGTCTGGATTGAGGTCCATCAAGTGTCAGTCAGTCAGAGCGAGTCAGTCGAGTCAGAGCAGTCTGAAACAGAGGCGCATTCAGACAATTACTACTAAACCTGATTGTTTACTAACATACTTCTCTGTATATATTCCTGTTTGTAATATATCTGTGTTATTCCATATACGTGTTAGAGTTCTTCTTTATTGGTTCTACCTTGGATTATCACCATAGTACAAGGAACCGGACCATAACAATTACTTATGTAATCTTGAGATTTACCCTTTTCTTTTTATTATTCTCACTATAAAGGCAGCTATAGAATAATTGGAAAATTCTCTTACTGAATGTGGTCCCTTGGACAATCAAACAGAAAATGTTATTTCACAAAATCTGTCATTGTTATTAAGAAATATTCTTAAAAACTATTTCCTGTTTCTGTTGTGATACAAGATTTGTACATTTTTTTTATTTACAGATTCTTTAGCTGTCATAGAATCAGCTAGAGGAAGGAAGATTTGAACCACTGCTGATATTGTTGTACCCCATGGAGATGATAAAAATGGTTGCAAAACTGAATGGCTTGTATCCTGCAGTAAAAAAGGATACCAGTCTGAAATCACAAGTTATTGTGCAAATAAGTTTAGTTCTCTATTTGAAAATGCTATAACAATATTTCACTACAGACAGAATATAAAATTATTTTTATCTGAGTGTGCAACATCTTGTAATTTGAAATTACATAGTGTTCTGACTGATATTTCTGATGACAGACTATATTCCCTTTTTGCTGCTGCAGTTGGACTGCTGAACATTAATGTGACAAAGCCCTTCTGGAATCATGTCAATAGCACTGTCCAGTATGTTGACTTCCACTGATATATATCAAGCAAATGGCTCTGGATTTGGAATGCTGGATCAACAATCCACAGTTGTTATTAGACCCTGACTGTAGAGGTGCATTTGGTGGTGAATTCTTTGAGGAGGATAATGCATCTCAAGGACCCTGAACTTGTCTTAGAGTGTTTGCACAAGGTACTCAGCATGTTCTTCATTCTCACTAAGCATTAGTTGCATGACTTTTTGGAAGGAGGTGGTTTTGGAAGAGACATGGATCAGGAGCTGCCTTGAAGAGCTGCCCACAAACAAATCTGTCAGGTGAGCATGCCTTTGGGGATTTAGATATTAGCATACAAACAAAATGATATACATCGTTACACAATGAGTCAACCTCAAGCATGCACAACTGCAACCGGACAAAAGCTTGGCTGTAAGGAATATCATCAACTCAGTGGCAATCCATTTTTAGCATCTCAAGAAACATAGAAAGCATATGTGACAAAGACACATGCAACAAGAAGTCCTTGTGAAACTCCCTAAGAAAGAATTACAGAAAAAGAAAGGCAAAAGAAGGAAAAAGAGTGTCAAGCTGCTGCTGAGAAACAGAGAATCATCGACTCTGTTAACAAGCATGGTAGTCCTGTGAATTCTGTTAAAGGGATTCAACTGGTTTCAGATATTGGTTTGGAAGCACTGAAAGAATAACCGAGATATCTCAAGGTTGTCTTAGGTGTCAAAATCAACACCAGTGGAAATAAAGTTCAGCTGGAAGCTGCACTCTGTGATTACTTGACAAGAATAAAACCAGTTGATTCATCTCCAACTCTAAAGCAACAAAAATAGGAAGAAAAGTCACTCAGTGAATCTGCCGAGCATTCAAATAACTCCAGCAGTTGTGATGAAGAACCATCTCAAATTATTTTCAGTTACAAGTGCAATGGGTTACAATGGACAATGGGTTGCTGTATACTATGACATCAACTTTTACATTGGCCAAGTCATTGATGTTACATCTCCATCCAGTGCTATAATAAAATTTTTAGCTCCAACCAAAGGTAGAAATGATTATTTTTGATGGCCTTTGTCAGATGATATTGCACAGGTGGAGTCAACATTTGTTTATAGATTGGATTTTGATGTAATGCCAATTTCAAATGATGGTAGGATTTGGAATGTTCCAGATATATTTACTATAGCAGAAACCTATAAAAAAATTATGACTGCAAATCACTAAGAAGGGAGAGGAACTGCAGGAGGACCTTTAAATCTTCATAGAAAATATGTTTTGTCAGTTGAGATAAAAATATATTTTGCTCATTTCTAATTTTTGAAGTTTAAAGCTTTACAATAAAAATTTGCTTGAAAAAAAAAAAAAAAGAAAAATAAAAAAGAAAAAAAAATGACTTATGATGCCTTGTGTACAACTAATTTCTAAGTTTTGTTGTTGTCTGTCCTTTTTTATTGAGTTGAAAACTGCATAATTTCACCTTAGTTAAAATGTGTCTATGACAAAAAATTTTGATATTACAAAGAAGACAAACATTTTTTTGAATTTCTCATCCAAAAATTAGTAAAGTTGCAAAGTTTCAAGCTTGTAATTCCAATGGATACTTTTTTTTTTTACAGTAAGTTCAGTGACGTATACTTTTAATATATTTTCCCTTTTTGCCCTATTATCAAATTGTGTTCCTGTCTGTTTTTACATGGTCCAAATATGAGTTTTTTTTTATTGATTTACTATTAAAAGAAAAGTTTAACTTGATCTCTAATGTGCTATGAATCATATTAAGAAGATTCAATGAATTAGCTGTTGAAATGAAACTTATATGAACAGTCAAAGTTGTCCTTCCATGTCATTTTTGCACTTTTTTTGGAGAAGAGGGGTAATGGGATTTTTGCCTAATAATTAGGCTGGTTTGATCTAATAATTATTGCTTCCATTAGTATTAATTTTCATTAACCACAAGATGACATTACATTTGTAAGGATTTTTCACTTGTTTGAAGCCTGCATTTTCAGTCATATGCTGTTCAAAATTAGCTTCTAGACCAATAGCACATAAGACAGCAAATTTTCTAATTTTTCAACAAAATTTGAATGGTCATAACTTGGTACCATTGTTTATGTTTTACAAAAATCCATGTGCCTACATTAAAAGTTTTTAGATATAATGAAAATAAAATTTTGGTTTGGGATGCTTATTATTACTTTTGGCAACAATTTAGACAAACATGGTTTACACATAAATACACATTGACATGTGGTGACGTATTTTTTTTTTCAGCATGAACTCACCAACTACTGACTCAAAATCAAAAGGACCTTTTACTTCTGAAATTGACATGTGAATAAAACTTCTTCATTTCAATTTTAAAAAACATAATTTTTTTTGAGATTCTACTAAAATGTATTTTATTACTGTAAAATAATTCATTATTTTCCTTTCAACTACAAATTCAATGAGTGTGAATTCATTTATCTTTGACAGAGATGTTTACTTGTCTCTGATATTTTTTATCATTGCTTTTTCTCTTTTTTTGTTGAGTAAGGTTAGCAGTTAAGAGGAGACATGCCAGCATATTTTTTCTCCCTTTCTTTTCTTGTCACAGACAAGAAAATACAGAAGTAACTATGAAGTCATGAACTCTTTCTAATCAAGGTAACAAACTACCATTCATAATAATTGCCAAATATTAATGATGACTAAAAAAACATATTCCTTAAAGGACAATTTTAGTTTGTAAAAAAGCTGGATATCTGGGACTTAGCATTTTGACTTTTATGAATTGAGAAAAAGTATGTGTGGGCATCCCAATTTAGAAAATTCCAGGATTTTTCAAGGAGCTTTTAGGCTATTGCTGTTTTTCCAGGACATTTTAAGCCCTGGGAAAGGCCCTCTGTCAATTTTCCAAGACTTTTCAACATTTCCAGGACCTGGCTATGTCACATGGATTAAAAAAAAAAATAACAAGTAGATTCATTTTGTTTTCATAAGCAAAAACTTTATCAAGTCATGCAATACAGTGTCTAAAAACTTAGAAATATCACAAAATCTGCTTTCCAACTGAATGAAATAATTTCTTGCAACAATACAAGGGATTAAAACTGAAATCAATGGAACAGAGTCTCTGATCAACAGAGGAAGAAAGTCCACCAGTCTAAAATATTCATAATTGATAGACAATGCATTTGTTTTTACCAGGTATAAAATCTTGTAAATCACCAGAAATTAATTCCAGGTCCGAAATATGAACAGCATCTAAAAAAAACAATTAAAATAAGAGTAAAACTGTTAAGGAACTTAATTACACTTTGATAACTATGACTGTAATAATAATTACACTCTCTCGCTCTCTTTCTCATATATATATATATATATATATATATTATAAATTAATTGATTTAAAATATGTTTTTTTTTCATTACACAGTTCTAACCATGTTTCAAAAATGGAAGCTAAAAGCCACAAATTTAATTTTGTGATTAAATTAAAGACATTAGTTCCATTTCATCCTCAAGCGAATTTTGGAGTAACTTTTTAAAATTACTGGGTTTTAAATACACAGCTAAAACAAAATTCATGTTTCCAAGGTTACAGATAAATCTATTTTTCTATCTTGCTGTTCTTTCTTTTTATTTATATATATACATATATATATATATATATATATATATATATATATATATATATATATATATATAAAATTGTTTTTTTAAAATATAAACTTAAAATACAAAGTTATGTTCCATTATCAAGGATGCAAAGAAATCGCATGATAATGGAATGGGATTTTGTATTTTAAGTTTAATTTTATGATTAAATTTGAATTGAAGTTTCAGTTTTGAAACATGGGGATTTCTGTGTTGTGATGGCAATATATTTAAAAAAAAAATTATAATATTATGCTCTACTGTTCTATTGAGCACTGTTTTTTAAGAATAAAAATAAATGCTAAGGACTCTGAATTATAAATCTCATTGTTCCTTCCTATTATTATTTATATATATATATATATATATATATATATATATATATATATATATATACATACACACACACACACACACACACACACATATTACTATAACCATTTTCAAAAAAGCTTGTATTTTAAGACATGTCTGGTGTAAGTCTATAAATTGAGCCATAAATTAGCCTTTCTAATGAAAACAAAAATTTAAATATAAATACCTTCTTCCTGGGATTGTGGAGTGATAGACTTTTTCTGGTAAAATTCAGCCTTTTTCTACAGAAGAGAAAAAGAAAAAAATGACTCAATTAGCAATCAAACTAGCAATGATTCCAGTTTGAACAAATATCAGTGCATGAATGGCAGTTGGATGAAATAGAAAAATCTTCTGGCTTCTCAGTCAACTTTGATCTTAAAAAATTTAAATTCAAAACCAATTGTTATCTTCTGTCTTCTCTACTCCTGTTCTTTTATTGTTCGCACTCGTTAATAATGTTGTTTTCTTTTTCTTTTATTCCTTCACACTTTTAATGCCTGTTCTTTTATTGTTTTGTACCTTAATAATGTTTTTCATTTTCTCATATTCTCTCACATTCAGTAACCCTTTGCATTTTAATGGGTTTATTGACTTAGGGTAAAATGATTAATAATAATAATAGTAATAATAATAATGTAATAATTTTGAGCAGGAAAAAGAAAAAAAAAAAAAATGAAAAAATAAATTGGAATTGTTTGCTGCTTTAAAAATGCATATGCAAATCCAAATACATTAAAAGTATGAATGAATTAGTTAAAGAAATTTCGAAATACCAGAAAGCTAAAAAGTTCTAAAACTGTTAACCTATCAAGAATTTATTTTGGGAAATAGGGGAGGATGAAAGCCAAGTTATGTTGTTGATAAGAATCTAATGACTCAAGACCAGAGATGTAACTATATCATCTCAACCCCCTTCATGCAGGAATGCTGGTTGCTAACCATTATATGACAGAAGGCACTCCTCTCTCAACCTGAGTTATAGCTTTTATGGAAAATGAAAATTAAGCACTCATAATAAGAAATGTTGCCATAAGAGAACAATAAAGCATGATTGAAATGCTGAGTGTAAAGTTTTACCTTGTCTTCTGTTTTAGGACCAGAATCATTTGATTTATTTCTTGTATTACTCATGGTTGAACTGTTTGCTCTTTTTGAGGCTGGACAAATATTTTTTATTCGTTGCTGCTCGATGACTGAAAGAAATACATTTTTCTGATTATTAATGATACTAAAGACAAATATAATACAAGTATTTTTGTCTTTGATCATGAAAACCAAATGGATTAGGCTGTTTGTAAAATAATTATGTTTAACAGAAAACAAATGTAAATTAAATTTATTCTTCAAAAATGTAATCATTTTCAATGCCCGCAGCCCAATGGCAAGGCAGATTTCCATTGCCCGCAGCCCAATGGCAAGGCAGATTTCCATTGCCCGCAGCCCAATGGCAAGGCAGATTTCCATTGCCTGCAGCCCAATGGCAAGGCAGATTTCCAATACCCACAGCCCAATGGGAAGGAAGATTTTTCAATTCCAAATTTAAAGAAATATGGAACTGGAACCGTTTCCTCCCCCCAAATGTTTGAAAGACTGTTTTCAACTTTTTTGTTTCTGTTCTGCCATTTAAATGTTTTAATGATTGAATTATAAGGAGAATCAAGAGATACCAAATCAGGTGAAGATCCAAATGATGTTATTTTTTCTTGGGTTTGTTTTTGTAGAGTGTGTCTTCCCATTATCATGATGGAGAATAACAACTTTTCTTTTTATCAAAGCAAGACACTTTTAACATAATGCACCATTTACATGACAAACTAATGCAATTTCCAACCATCCAATCTTTTGTTCTATCTTCAGTCGGTTGACTCATAATTTATATTAAGATATTAGTAAGTAATTATGACTTTGCATAATTACTTTCCAAACATGACTGATATTAAAATTACAATCAAGAAATTACAAAATGGATTAATGTATGGAGAAGTTACATTTCTTTAAGACATGTCTTTTTTTTTTTTTACAATAGGGTAATAATCTATACAGTGCAGCTTGATTGTTTTTGTTTTATAGCTTAAGAATGTTTATTCTATGATGTATGGAAGGTATAGAGGTAAATGTGCTGCGTTATTGATTTATAAATAAATGGCTCATTAACACACTGACTGCCAGAAGTCAATTACAAAATCTGACTTCAAACAACAACTTTGTAATAGCTGACTTAGGCAATAAAAAATTTTTATGAGTTCATCTCTAGCTTCAACTGATATCTTAACATTGTTTTTACACTAAAAGCATCACTGTGAATAAAATCGTTGTTGGTGCCTGCAGTTGAAAATGTATTAGAAAATACCAAGCACGAGATAACTCGTAGGCAGCAAAGGTCACACTTGTCCCCCAAATGTTATAAAAATCATACTCGTAAGTATCACATGAGGAATTTTTATTAATTATGGAAAATATAAATAATCTTTGTATAAAAAATCAAATTTACTTTTCAGACAGTGTTGGATGAACTCATCTTCAATTTTTTTTTTTTTTTTAAAATGTTGTTACTAGAATACAATACTAAGTTATTTATTTGGTACAGAATAAGATATATTCGTGGTCTATGGTTTGAAATTTGATCAACTTTTAGTAATTTATTTTATTAGTGGTTTATTTATTATATTATCAATTTTTATTACATTTTATTATTTATTATCAACTTTTATTATAATTTCAGATTTTAGTGTGTTATAATGGCTAGAAAAAGATACATAGCTGAAATCAGTAGCTGTCTATATTTCTGAGATGAGGTATTATGTACATTATTTACATTATTCGGACTATTGTCCTCATCTTTGTCGCCATATTTATTACAACGTTTCGGCCGTTTTACGCTCCAGCCTTCTTCATTCCAACCACCTGAAGAAGGCCAGCACGTACAACAGCCAAAACGTTGTAATAAATATGGTGACAAAGATGAGGACAATAGTCTGAATAATGTAAATAATGTAGCTGAAATCAATTTTGATGTTTATCTAAATCTGAATGACTGAGAGCCAGATGACATACTTGACACTGATGATGACATGCTGTATGTCTCATTGGAAGAATCAAGTGAAAACTAAAAGGATGATGAAGAAAGATTTCAACACAATGTAACAACTTCATCTAATGATGGCAGTGATGGATGAAGTGAATCAGCACATAACCCTGCCCACCAAATTTCAACTTGGCAGACAATGTTTGTTTGAGGCTGGATTCCACCAACCTTAAAGATTTTGTTGACTTATTTTTTCCAGAGGAAATTCTGCTTATGTTAATGAACTAAACTAATTTGTAAGCTTTTGTTGCTTTTCAAATACTTTGTTTATGTATTATATTTTCAATAAATTTTTTCCATAACAAGTTTGTTTTTAGTTGCCAGTACAATTTTTCATTCCTACCGTAGACACTTGATACCAGTTATTTGCATTAAAAACAATAAAAAAAACGTGGTTGTAGTCTTGATGGCAAGACCACAAAAACGAGATAACACATGGTTGACTACATAATAAAAACTGCCAACCATTAGTCATCTGATGGTTAGCAGTCAATGTGTTAATATGAATAAGATTATGTTGATATGATAAATTCTCAAAGGACAGCATTGTAATACATAAAAGGGGAAAATGATTAGATATAAATTATAAAGTTCAATCAGAATGTATTATTGATTACTTAACTAGTGTGAAAGTCATTTAAATATTTTAAAATTTATTTACATATTGTTCATTAATAGGAATTAAGATAAGATAATTTCTTGGAAAACTAAATTAAGGACAACTGTTACTGATTAAAGTTTCTCAATTTTGTTACTTACAATGTTGTATGCTTGCTGGATACAGTATGTAGTCTCCAAGAGCAACATCCATCATATTCTCAGCAATAATACAGGCATTGATGTATTTAGAGTGAATGACAGCTAAACCATGTTTTTGGTAAGAGGCACCCTCAAAAATACTGAAAAATATAAGATGAAATGCCTATATTCATAATTCTGGTATTTTGATAAATATTCAGAAAAAAAAGAAGTCTTTGATTTCTTCTATACATCTTAAGCAAGAGAGGAATTGTTCAGATTAAAAATGAAAATGTACAAAATGAAATTTAACATGGCAGACATCCATACCATTTTTTATCTTCTGCATCATTCATTGATTCATTATAGTAGTGAAATGGTTAACAAGCCTTGGCAAGCAGATTTGATATTCACAGTGTGCCCAACTCACAAGATAAAAAGCTAAACTTAGTAAATAACTCAAAACATTAACGGTACAGCAATAAACCAGTTTTGTAGATCATGACAACTTGAATAGGTGTGACCATTATCAGGTGCTTCATGATTGTGACCTTGTTAATTTAGCAAATAAGCAATTTCCCTGTCATCCTCCTGGTACTGAGGAAGTCCAACAACAATTCTAATCTAGTGACAAAATATCTGACCCTCAGGCAGCACTTCCCAATAAGTGGAGTCTCAGAGGTGCATTCTGACACTTGCAACAATTTTTTTTTTTTGTAGATAGAGGTGCCATTTTCAAAAATTGAACCTTGTTCATCCAATGGCAAACATTTGTAGGCAAATCAAAAAAAAAAAAAACCTGAGCTAGAGAGAATGAAGGACAATTTCTTTCTAGATGAAGAACTTGAGGCAACAGAGATAAATGTTGAAAATACCATGAGCAGAACATGTGAGTAATGAGGATGTTTTAGGGCAAACTGATACAAAAAGGACACTTGTACTTATAATTGGAAAGAGGTGAATTTATGGGACACCTGATGAGAATTTGATGCTTATAAGACAAATTGAGGGACAGAGGGAAACAATAAGTAACCTACCTAATAAGCTTGTGTAAATAGATAGCAAAACAGGGAGTGGGAAGACAAAAAAAAAAAAAAAAAAAAAAAGAACATTGATAAGAGCTACAAAAGATGAGAAATTGTAGAGAGCTGTGATTGCCTACATCCTTAAAAGACATGCCACATAGAAGAAACATTAAATCAATAGTTTCAGTTATAAAATATGAAAAATGAATAGATCTTTTAATAATTTTGGTTTCAATCCAATCAGAAATGATTGCAAAATACTTTCCCCTCTCTAGTTTATAAGCAGAAGCACACAAATGCATGCTGGGATATTTTCCTAGTCAATAAAATAGACCAGTTCTCAGTTTCATCTGACTCAGTTCTCTCTGTTTTGTCATGAAGACAGAACACTATCTTATCTTCTTCTTGTGTGTCAAACCCAATTCTTAGTTTGTGAACCTTTTGCCATATTATTGTTAATTTGCCTTGCATATATTGTTTGCTTGCTTCATATTATTGTTTACCCTGTTCTTTTCTTTTTTTTTTCTTGTTTATTGTAAACTTTGTCTATTCTGTTTGTTGGGCATTTTTGCCATTCATTTATTTTACATTTAACTCAGTCCACAAATAATAAAAAAAAATACCGAATATAATAAATATAATGCATTAAAGTTTTAGATTAGTTAATAATTTGTCAAAAATTAATTTGGTGTGTGTGTGTAAAAGCAAACGCCAGCCACAAGTGAATATTTATTTAATATTTATTTAATAATTTATCCGAAACAGTTTACAACACTTGCCAAAATGTGGATATTTTTGGTTTAAATTATTTAGCGCACTAAGAAACAGAAAAACTCCAATTGAAGGGAGATAACTTAAGCAATAAAATTAGAAACATTTCTGTACAAAAAAGTTTTCTCTCATACATTACATATATTTAAAGCAGCTATGATTAATGTAAACATATTAAGTCCAACCAACAAGTATGTATAAATGTACTCCTTTTATGTTTTTTCTTTGTATTTAAAATTAAAAATGGGAAAAAAAAATAAAATAAAATAAACAGATAGACAGACCTTGTCAGATGAATTTAATGAAAATTGTTTAAATATATATGACATGTTCAGCAGAGGAGGGGGGCAGATTCAACATTTGATAATTTTGCAGCAATACGCACTTAAAGGTTTTAAGCAGTTTTGATCAACATTTCTTTTCATGGTTAGCCGTAAGGAATTGTAAATGTAGGACTACCTTAAACTTAAGTAAAATAATAACAATAATATATTTATTAAGTATTATTACAGGAATTATCAAGTTTACAAAAACATTGTTGACAATTATGCATTTTGTTATATAAAAAATAAATCAAAATAATATAAATTTTGATTCTATATTTGATTTACTGTTAGATATTTAGGTGGTATAGTCCATTATTTCATCATGTTCATCAAAACTGGTATCACTTTGTTCGTTACTTTTGTTTATTTCTAGTTTTTCAATCAAATTATAATAACTTGCTGCAATTCAGTTAAATCTTGTAGATCTTTCATTTCCTCCTTTGTTATTGGCAGCATTTTAGAATACTTTGGTTGCAATGATAACTGGAGCTATAAGATATTTTTCTCTTTTTGCAATCTGACAGGAATGACTACTCTGTGAGTTTGTTTCATATGTAGTAAATATTACATTGCCTTCTTTGTACTGATGATCAAATATTAATTTTCTAGAGTCAACAAATTTAGCACATGTCGATTTCCTTTTAACCAAGCTTTGTTTCAAAACTTCAAAATCTAAAAAGTCAGATTGCTCCATTTCAACAACTAAGAAATGTTGTGAAACTGATGTTGTTATTACATAATGTCTTTTTTGTATAGATGTTATTGTAATGTTTCTTTATATTTTGTTCTATTTCACCAAATTGAACATCACAAGGCATAGTTGAGTGGCCAGCCACTAGATAAATGTGTTTTATGTGCAGTACTGATCCACAGTGAATTTCTCTGAGATACATCAATACTAGATTAAAATTTTTATTTTTGTCCAGCACAGTTATCTGAAAATACATACAATTGTTTGACAGGTTCATTATTGCTATTTCGACCTTTAATTTGTCTCTAGCAAGAGGGCGGAAAATTCGGGCATTTTTGGCTTCGGCGTTTGTTAGAGAGTGAATTATTTTTCTGACTGGTTACACGCATTGTGATTCAAGATAGTACTGGCGAATCGAGTTTTCAGCATTTCTTTCTGCCCCCGATATTCGAGTCTGTACTTACAGTGATTTTTCTTTGTGTTGTGGAAGTAATCTGCGACAAATTTGCTTTCAGTACGCTTACACTTACATTTTTCTGTAAACAAAGCTTGTAAAATAGAATATTTTAAATTAATATACAACCAAAAATAAAATGCTATTAGCAAAAAAAAAATAATGATTTCACTATAATTATGTAACAATAATGTAATGATATTTCACAGACAAATCTATGGTTTATGTTACCTCATTTCATTGCAAGGTTATGAACTATAAACCTTAAATTAAGCTTGAAATATTGTGTAATTGGCTCTAATTTTTTGTAAAATATTTGGATATGATATAATGAATAATTTGTGGTGAAAAAAGCAATTTTCAATTTTTTGTTGAATATGCCCCTCCTCTGTCAAACACGTCATATAAAACATTTTCTTTTTACAGTATTAACAAAATAGAAAAATACCATTTGAAAAAATTTGTTAGAAAACCACACACCCTCATGCTTAATTTACTTTTGTCTTAAATTTATACGCTCAGTGAAGTAGAAGTCAAATTTAAAAATCGTTTTGCTGTATTAATTATGGTTCAGTTATGATAATTACAAATTAAAAAAAAGAATCACCTATTTATTATATTTTTACTTATTTTGCACAATTAATATAATTAGAGGTTGTATTATTTTACATTAGATTCTTCAGTTTGTTCTTTGAACATCTAAAGATTTCTTTTGGCTGATATTTGTGCACATGGATTCAAGATTTATTTTATTTTTCAAAGAATATTATGTCAGGCTTTAGTAGCTGAAAATAAAGCCACAGAATAATCATAGAGCCTTCATCATTTTCCTTCTATCAGCCTTCTACCATTTTTTGGCAAAATATTACAGACTCTAATCAACAATGAATTGTTTAAGCATTTCACCTCACAGGGTCTTCTTTCAGATAAGCAATATAGCTTAGGTCAACTGCTGATGTGTTAACAATTATTGCTGAAAGATTCTATCAAGCTTTAGATAAGAATGGTGAATCTCAAGCTGCTGCTTTGGAAATCTCAAGGGCATTTGACAGTTTTCTTCACAAATTGAAAAGTTACACAGTATTTCTGGATACATTTTTGGGCCAATTTAATCTTTCTTAGCAAATCACTAAATGAAAGTTGTCTTGAATGGCCACTCTTCTTGATCTTTTTGCATTAATGCAGGTGTCCCCCAGGGCTCTATTCTTGGACCTACATTGTTCCTTATTTTTATCAATGACCTTCCTGATGTCATCAGTTCTCAACTAATTATCTATGCTGATGACGCACCTATTTACTCCTGTCTTAGTGGTAAGCCTGATTGGTTCGATAAGGTTAAATTGGCAGCTGATCTCAAAAATGATGTACAATATGTTGTTGATTGGGGCAAGGTATGTCTTGTTAATTTTAGCACCTACAAAATCTAATTGCTTTCTTTTAATCTTCTGAGAGAACTCTTTTTCTCTTCCATCAGCATGGCTGATGCTAACCTCCAGGAAAAGGACTCATTGCACCTTCTCAGGATAACATTTTCTGCTGACATGAAGTGAAAATATTATATTGAATCAATTGATAGGTCTGTTGCTAGGAAAGTTGGTTCACTGTGTCATGCTAGACAATTTACCTCGCCAGAATCTATCTTGCACATTTATAAGTCTAGCATTCATCAAGGCTTTGAATATTGTTGTCACATCTGCTCTTGTGCTTCTGCTATGTATTTAGAAAGTCTTGATAAAATTAAAATATAAAAAAAAATCTGCAATGTTATTGGTCTTGAGCTGGCTTCTTGGCTTCGGTCACTTTCTCACCACCATAACGTAGCTTTCCTGTGACTTTCATATAAATATTTTCATGGTAATTGTTCTGATGAGCTTTCCTCTTTTGTATCTCAACTCTATGAATTCTAGATCAGTACTAGATTGGTAGCTAGGTCTCATCATTTTACCATTGAAATGACGAGACGTAACCATAAGTTCGATGCTAATAGTTTCCTGTCTTGCACTTCTTGCTTGTGGAACTCTCTGCAGGCTTCTTGCTTTACAGTTAACTTTGATCTTTAAAAATTTAAATTCAATGTCAAATGTTATCTTCTGTCCTAATTCCTGTACTTTTATTGTTTTCTCTCCTTAAAGTTTTTTCTCTCTCATATTCTCTCACACTCAGTAACCCCCCTTGCATCTTAGTTGCTTTATTGCCTTGCTTGGGTTGAAATGATTAAAAAAAAAAGTTTTTGAACAATCAGGTAATTTGAAATACTGATATAACTTCCACATAAAAAGCCATCAATTCTAATAAATATAGCAATGAGAAAATAAATGTATAGCAATAGTAATATTTTTGGATAGAATCTAAGTTTTTATTTGTTAATGAAAAAAATATCTTGGCTTTTCTAAAATTGAAATATAAATCCAATAATGGCCTGACTTGATTTTTGAAAAGAAAATAAGTGAAATATAATGAGAGTTCATTATTAGAAAATCAGTGCAAATATTCTTGTGAGATAAAAAGTAATGAATATCTATTGATATTATGCTTGTTTAATATATTGAAATGATAAGAAATTTACAATCAGTTAGGTTATCATTAAATCTTCTCAAGCCAAAGGAAATTAAAAAGAGAACAATACAGGACTTCTTTTACATTTAACATTGCACACAAGCCTTTTGTAGTATTTAACACTGGTTATGGAAGGAATAATAAACATGGTGCTTATTTCTGCAACCAAAGTAAAAATATTTCTATTTTTCAGAAAAGGAAAATTGAATTATCTCTGTATAAATGTATAATCAAATTTATTGCTATATGCGCATTATTACAGGTCCACAGAAAAGATATAGATTATATCAAGTCCTTACTATTCATTCATTTGATAATTCTGAAGGATGGGAAAAAGAAATAAAAGTGGGGTCAGTTGTCTAAAACAATGTTTAGAACACATATCATTTTTCTTTTTTAAATTTATATACTTATGCCATTGTCAGGACGACATTTCACAAGGGCAGGTAACTCGAAATAGACACTGGGCAGATAATTTTGGTAACCTACAATGGGATAACGATATATAAATCTTTTATATATTAAGGACAATTCTTTCCACCATAACCTACAATACAAATTATTTTACATTTTCAGGGTATCTTCACCTTTTTCTGTGTTCGAAATCTTGACTTATATTAATATATTCTCTATATATTAGAAATTATTCTATGCAACTCCCTTGCAAAGTTCAGTCTCTTACAAGAAAAAATATATAGACAAAGTCTTCATATGATATCCAACATAGTTGTGGTAAAGAATATAAGGAAAGAAACAGCCATCCGCTAAAAGCTTTGAGAATATAATGTGAATACATTTCTAATAAGATTATATAATGTATGATAGACTACAAAGGGAAAAAGCGGGTACATTTACACTTATGAGTTGATGACAAAACAATAAAAAATGAACCAGTTTATAAAGTCTGTAATCTCATGAGATTAAAATAATGAATAAGTATAAGAAAGCTATTTTGGACTATTAAGCTCTCCCATGTCAATGTAAGATTAATTCCCTGATAAAAATTTTCCAGTGTCACCAAAAATTTCTCCCATTGGGAGAAAAACTGGAAATTAATGAACTATGGTGAGAGGGTAAAAGAAAAACTGAGGCCTCAATGGACTTGTAAAGACTGCTGGATGAAGCAAGCCTTAAAGAGGAATAAATATTAGATGAAGGAGATTTTAAAATAAAAGATCTAGTCACTTGTGTACAGAGAAAGAGAAAGATATATAATTGGCATAATGAGACTCAATCTTAAAATTTTAAACAGCAGCTGCAATAATAAAGGTTTTTATGATTTCAGAAAGTTGCAGTGATTATTTCATTTACATCAATGATGCTCCTTTTTCTATGTTTTAAATATAAATCCTTTATCATCACACAAGTGTTACTTACCTGACTGTATCTGGAGCATTAGCATCTTCACTGAAGATAAAATCTGCTGTTTGGAAAGAGGCTTCAGTTCCACCAAGAGTCACTGCAAATAAATGTTGAAAAGGAAATATAAACATTGACAAATCCCCACACAATGTAATTAAGTAACAAGCAAAAAACGTTTTGTAACTTATCGATAGTGCTAGGCAGTGGGGAGAGAGTAAACAATCAAATTAATATATGCATTTATTTCCACAAATTCGTACAGCTAAAATAATATCCACATATCATTAATCTCTGTAACAACATGAAAGACAGTCATTCTCATTAGGAGGATTTCAGTGCAAACATTGGGGTTTAAAGTAGTTATGATTAAAATCATGACACTGATTCCTTAACAATTTCATAAGTAATTTTTTTATTTTCAATCATAAACATCTTTAAGGCAGAATAAGCTGAATAATTTTTGTTAATATAAAATTGATCATTCCTAAGAGTAGAATTCTTGCAAAGTACTTTCATCTAATGGCTGTCTGATGACAACAAAGATTGAAGCATCTCAGACATTGGAGGATTGAAAAGCAGAGATAACTTCATTTGTAAATGCATGGCTGCTGATCGGGGGACATAGTGCCTCATTGGATATTATTCTCAACCTAGATTGTAAATTTTTAATCTAAAAACCCTGGCCAGTTGTCTAGTCAAAAAGCAAAAACAATAGAAACTATGCCATTATGATCATCCATGATAGTTACACAATTCTTGTCAAAGTACAACTCATCGGTCTTATTTATCTTTATTTTGTGTTTCTTTCTTCCACCTAACCAGAGTATGCAACCAGCACTACAAAATCCTCGGAATAAATTTACAACTGCAATATTGGGTTCCCTGAGAAAAATGTGAATACTGATGCAAAATTTGCCCTAAGCATGGAAAATGGAATAAGAATAATAATAAAGGATTTGGTTTGAAGACAGACAAATGAGGAAGGCTGTAACGTTGTGAATATAACAATCAAGATGATTATGCTGGTCTGAATAGAGAAGCCTTTCTTGTTAAACAAGGAGGCCAGCTCTGTCTTAGCTAGTATCTACTTTGCTTATATTTCCTGATTTCACAGCAATGTCTGTTTTAGATTCGATTACTGCTTGTTCTACTAATCTATCAGTTATTCAATAGATGACTTATTCCCAACCACAGTCCCTGTTGATTCTCTGTAGGGTCAGTAATAACTGGTTTTGAAAGTCCTTCACAACTAATAAGGATGTATTAAAGTTCCATTATTCATCTATCCTTGGTTTAATGTTATCTAAGTTTATCCAAACCTAGACTAGACTATAATTGAAATAAATTATATACTATGAAAACTTGACAACTTACAAGTAAGCTTTCCTAAAGATACAACTGGCACATTGCATTGAAGAAAAACTACCAAATATCAATGCAAGGCCATAGTTGCCACTTTAGAAGCTCATTTTATTTTTTAATCTTTTCACAAAATCAAGCCTGGTGACAAATTTCAAAGACATTCCTTCAGATATGAAAATATAAGTATTCTTCCTGTTGTCCCTTTCACCTACATTGGGATCATGGATGGCATTCTAAACCACTTTGACAATATCACAAAGGGATCAATCTGATTGGGCTGTGGCAAGTGGGGTGGATGGGGTTGTTAACAGGTCAATCTTTGCTATCATTGGGCACACTAAGTAAAATTAATTGCTTTCTCCTTTAGATTAACATCCAGCACATATAGCAGATCTAGCCAGAGTACACCGTTGTGGGGTAATGGTTAGCAAACTTGTTTCACTAGATCAATGACTGAATAGTAAGTTCGATCCTCACTGGGTACCCTGTACTTTCAGCCTTGTGCCACATCTAAGCTACACTTATAAAATCACCATAGCTGATGTGACCAGTTGCCAGGCTAAAACAAGCGTGTCACTCAAAAAGTAAAGAAATACTCCCTGAATTACTATCTAAATATATTGAGAAGAGGTGAAGAGTCACCTTGACAAAATATCTTTATGGTCACTTGCAGTCAGATGAGTGTCTTGCAAACAATTTATCAACACAGAGATGTGTTGAGGGTTGTGAAAAAGTTCAGCCCATCAAAACACTGACCTCAGCCATTAAACTATCTCATCAGACAGACATAATTAATTTATTGGTATTGTATAACTGAGATAAACATACTAAGGAGAGGATACTGATGGCCTGTCCCATGGATTCTTGGCCCATCTCAGTCTCAAGAGGAGCTGTCCAAAGACAAGCCTCCAATGCCTCTTGGATGGATGAATCTATAAAACGACTCAACCTGAACAAAAACATTTCAAATCTTGCTTTCTTGTTGGTATAATCAACCATCAAAGATGACATTTTAAAAGTTTAATAGACCTTCCCCAGCATACACCAAAGTTGCTGTGTACCTAGACTAATTCTCATGACATGAGCAACATTGGGTACACAGGAAATTTGTTGTGTCCTCTACATTACTTTTACCTGGTTCCATATTTCAGAAGTTGTGGTGGACCATTAATGCCTTCAATCTCTCTGACTGCAGATTCTTCCTCAGAATTATTTTTGAGTTAACACAGCAAATCTTTTTCCTCATGATGATGATGATCTTCTTCTTCACTATCCTCTCCAACTCTTACATATTTTGGCCAGGTAATGATACTATCTCAGCTTCTACTTGCAATTTAGAGACACAATACTTTATTCAGCACATGAGCTATTTCAATGCTGCTGCAATCATTATTATGATTATAACTGGTAATCCTCTTTGGTAATTTCTACCAATACACTCCTGTGCTTTTTATAAGGAATAAAATGATAATGGAGGAGGCATAGTTCTTGTAGAAGTTTTGGAGACTTTGAAATGGGAATAGGTATAGAGTGAGGGAAATAGGCAAGGTCTGTATTTTTTTTTGGTGGATTTGAATTTTTTGCTATGTTGGTTGTGGTAGTAGTAATTGATATGCAGGAAGACAGGGAAATGGATGAGGCGGTCACTTCTGCTGGTCTAGCCTTTTGACTGTCTAACTTTTGCTTTAGGATCATTAACACTGCTTTCTCTTAACTAAATTGGCAAGCTGCTGAAGATTTTCACAATTGCAGCATATGACCACAAAGTCTTTCCTTTTAGACTGTGTCATCAAGTCTAAGGCTTCAGCATGAATTCCTTCCCTCATCCCCTTTTTCCTGACATCCTAACACCCTCCTTCAGACTTCCCCAGTGATGCCACAACCATTTCAAGGAAAAGGGAATCTTGATGCCTTAATAACCAAGATTTTTGTGCTTTCCCAGGCTAGCTGGAGAGAGGTGACTAGTATCTTTACAATACCAACATGCCAGTCTTCTGCCTGATTCACTATCTGGAACTTCCTTATCTTTGACATGCAATTAGTCGGAAATAAGAGTTGAATGTTTTCTTGTTGATCATAAGGTCAAATCTTCATCACAAGTCACATATGTCCAAGAAAAAAATTGGAAAAAGCACACAGCCGATTAAGTTTCAAAAATACAGCAAAGAACCTCAAATACTGCAACCCTGATTTAACAGTGGCCCATATATTCAAATGTGAAAAATATTTATCTGCAAGGTTCTTCCTGGTTAGTGCCAAGCAATATTCAGCTGTGGGTAGCAATAAATTCCACATGAGGAAGGGTCTTGTCAGTTATGGTATGCTGGACTCCTTTACTAGCAAACTCAACTAATTGTGCACTTGATAATTTTATTGTGTTTCTTGTCAAACACATCATGAATTGTTGTATGTATATATATATATATAAAGATAAAAGGCCCAGAAAAAAGTTGCCAAGATAAAACCCTAAATTTAACTTGCATATATCAAGAAATTTTGAGGATGTAACAGTCAACACATACCATGACATTAAAAGCAACTTGTGTTGAGATTTTTAAAAGACCTTTGAGTCTCCAAAAAAAAAAAAAAAAAAAACAAACACAAAGATTTAACACAAGCACAATCAAGCAGTCACATTAGAGAAATTTCCTTGCAGATAAAAATCTACACTCATCAACAATTCCCTTACTCTTGAGTGAAAAAAAGAAGAAAACTATAAAAAAGAAGAAAACATTTTAAAAAGGAGCTAATTGACAGCAGAACATTTTTTGTCTATATCATAAAAGTTTGATTTGGCATTTTATATTGATTTGACTTTATATTCATTGTTGTTGGAACTTATTTTACAAACTTACAACCATAGTCAGCTATGTGACCATTGCAACAATATTATGTGAATTTGTTTACCACAAACATTGTCTGCACTTATTTACGTTTTAATGAATTAAATATGGTACAACAGAGCTTTTTAAAGTGCTACTTGTGAAATTTATAAGAAATTTGTTACTACAGCTTTATTCTTCTTTCAAGATTTCTTAGTGAATTAAATGCAAAAATAATTTTCTGATATCCATCATAATTATATTAATAAAACTGGTAGTTTTGTAATTAAGATTGTTTTGTCTCAATCATGCACACTAACTTATAAAATTCTTGATCCAGTTCACAGATATTCATTCAATTGAAATAGTAAGATAACTTACACCAAAGACCTCTTGTCTTGGAGAAAACACTTGATGAAAACCAGGCTGTATGTCCAGTGAAAAGGTTATCTATTTCACTGAATTCTGTATTCATTCTTCTGACATCTGGACAAAAAAAATGTCAAACAGATTAGATTAATAACTCTTAGTTCTCTCTCTCATATAAATATATATGTGTGTGTGTTTGTATGTGCTAAGCAATTTTAGTACTAATAAAAGCAGACCTGCTACCAACACTATCGTTATTTTCATCTCACCCATGTTCAATTTAAATTTCCTCAATAATCATGGAATTAATATATAATACACAGGGTAACCAAACACCCTGCCAAATTAGCATTAAAAAATCAACTCATTTTCTAATACACAAGTTCACAACATACAGAAATGACGCCTAAGTAGCTTGTTTCTCTCACCTCCTCACACATTCAAGTTGATACATATATTTTTTCACACTATCAAATAAGTGAACAAATTTTTGTGTACTAGTTATCTCCCTTCGCATGGCTTTACAACGCCTTACAATCTAAGCACATTTTTTTATGAATGAAAAACAGAACTTCCGAAAATTTTCAAACTTTAGTTTCATAAACCGAGTACATACTTTATAACATAGAGACACACACACACACACAAAAGTACCTCATTTGGATCTAAAATATCTTGCATCATAATTGAAACAAAATTGGAAAAGTGTCTGAAATGCAATATAATTTATTTTCAGTTGAAAGTTATGAAATATGACCAATAAGCTCATAGATGCAGAAAAAAAATGTCCTTGTTTAGACTTCGGAGAAGATTTGCATTTCAGACAATTTTCATTTTATTTCAGGTGAATGCAAGGACACAAGTTCAAACTTTTTCATTTATAGAAACAAAAATAAAACAATATATGCTCTGAGTAATTTGGTGCAGTATGTGAAAATCATTTCAGATGATAAAATGGAAGATGCCTAATTATTTAAGAGATTTGGTGGAGAAAGGAAAGCCATTTGAGAAAGTTCAACTAAATTGCCAGTGATACAGTTCTATAAAGAACTGGTTTAACATGGACTCTATTAAGCAAATCAATCTTTCAAAAAAACCAAATGCTATTAGTAGAATCTTCTGTATATACTTATATTTATATTAAAAATATACCAAGAGGATTTCAGCTTTGAATGTCTTTCGTAGAAATATTTACAATAACTTATTTGGTAGTGTAAGATTTTATTATGCAAGTTAAGGGTTGGCCATCTATTCTAAATAAATATATAATAGTGTAGTTAGTAATGTTTTTGTTTTCTTTTACTTGCTCTGAGAATATATTGGGGATTTAGTCACTAACATAGAGCATGAAAGATTCATAGCTCTTGACATCTCTTATGTATGCGTCAATTTGCATATTTCAAGCATCAGCACAGGATAAAGATGAGATACAACAGGTAAAAACTGACCAACAAATATTTCAGCACTACATGGATAAAAGTGACAAGATTGGTATATATGAAAGGTGCCAATCTAGAGTGGCTATTTTAGTATCTGTGTGTTTTAGGTCTAGAGTTCCTGCTCCTGGAAATTCCTCCTCAGGTTCCAATCAGTCTGGTAAAATTAAACCAATTGTGTGATCTGTCCACACCCACTATGGTTTATATAGCTACCCCCATCTCCTTACATTGTAATATTTATAGCATGCATGTTAAATGGCATATAGAATAATCAACAAGGTTGTGGAGCACTTACATAAGAACAGCCACTTAAGCAACAAGCAGTATGAGTTTCGATCAGTCTGAACCACTGCTGATGTCCTAACTACCATTACTCACAGAATCAGCACAACACAACAAATACAAAGACTTACTAAAGATTACTGCTCAAGCTTTCTAGCTATGGAGTCACTGGAAGAGTCTTCTCAATGGGTAGGTCCCTGAAGGTAGTTGTTAATGGCCACTCCTCTAGAGCCCTAGCAATCAATGCAAGTGTCCTCCAGAGGTCACTTCTCAATCAACTCTCTTTTTACTTTACAGAAATATTTGTCTAAGGATACCATTTGAGGTGAATATCTATGCTGATGATATATGGGCACATCTCCAAAAGCTATGATGAGCAGAGATTGGCAGCTGATCTCTCATAGTTGGTTCCATACACCACTTCAGTAAGTACCTTACTCCTCGTGCTATTCTCTACCTTTATGTAGAAAAAAAAGGCTTTAAACTTATTGCAGCAATCAATTTCTTCTCTTGCCTGTGAAACTTGTAACGATCAATTTCTTCTCTCATCTGTGATACTTGTAACCAATTCAACACAGACAATTCTTGTCTTTTTTCATGTCACTCCATTCTTTCCGTTCTGGGATTGCAAAGGAAATATTTGTCGCAGATTACTTCCACAATGCAGAGAATAAATCACTAAGTTCAAACTCAAATATCGGGAACAGAAAGAAATGCCGAAATCTCCATTTGCAGGTACTATCTCACAAATCACAATGCATGTAACCAGTCAGAAAAATAACTCACACTTCAACGAATGCAGTAGCCAAAATACACAAATTTTATTCCTCCCTCTCGATTTGAGAACACCAACTATTTTTATAGCGACTCCTGCAACTGATTTGTTTTTAATTTAAATATTCCATCTTCAGCATGTCATGTGGAATACGTGCCCTTTGTTTTTGGTAAGTAATTTTCTTTTTCGCCACATTTTCCATCATAGGATACACACAACACGTTGTCGCTTGGTTTGACAAGGCAAGTCGCCGTTTTCTTCGCTATACTATCATTGACAGCCAAACTTTGCCTATGTGCAAAGATAATTTTGCAAGAGAGTATCTTACTCTGAGATCTATTTTAAATATGTGACCCACAAAGCCACAATTTCTTTCTGTGAGGCATATTCAAATCTTTGCTTGCACTTGAAGTTAGTTATTCAGGATTTTATTCTAGTGTTGTGAAAAATATATGCAACCCTGGGGCCTCTTTGCCCTCTGTGTAGTTCACTAAACTTTATAAGACCCAGATCAGGTCTAAGATGGAGAGTACTGCTGTCATATTTGAGCAGAAGCTGCCCAGTCCTTACTTTTCAGTCTTGATAGAGTCTAAAAGCATCTCCACGCCATCCTTATAGGTGACAAATTATTTTCTACCCTGCAACTCCTCTCTCAGATGGGAGGAGTCAAACTTCTTCCTGTTCTTGTGCTATTTCTGTGGAACTGGATTCCTTGGTTCTGCCAGTTCTAAACTTCATGGCTAGGTCCTTCCATACCATTCACATTGTAGCAACTCACCCTCATTCCTTCTGTATTCCATTGATGAGAAGTAAGTTCCACTCAAGCAGCTTCTTTGTGTGAACCAGTGTTTTGTGGAACTGACTCCCAAGAGGATGTTTCCTTGATCATTACAATTTTAACCTGTTCAAGACTGGGTTAAACCATTATCTTCCCCCACCTATCTGCATCTTACTCTGTCACCCTCTACCTTGAGTGTTTCCTGAGTCTTGTACAGGGTGAACTGCACTGTAACAAAAGAAAAAAGAAGAAAAAGAGTAGCAGATGATAGATGAAGGAGACATATGGAAGGAATATTGTTTGCGTGTATAGGTTGCACAAGAGAGTAATTTCATTTTTATTACATATGCATGCATATGTGAGTTTGGGGAAATAAATTCCCCAAACTCACATTATCAGCGTTGTCCACATAACTGACTGACAACAACAGTCACTCAGCTAAGAAGCCTATTATAATCTACAGCTTGACTGTAGACTAAATACAACCATTGCTAGTAGATCCAACATAGTAACAGGCATAAATCATTAAGTATTTTACAACATTTAGTAGCATACCATAACAATCCCAAACATTACCAAAATAATTCAATAAAACTCAAAAACTTTTTGATTAGTTGGTGTTTATAATTTAATTAATAAAACCTTATTTTCTTTCCAATTCGAAAAAAACAAAAACAAAACAAAACTATTATTCAATAATTATTATTTAAAATTTATTTTGAATTTTTCAGTGTAATTTTAAAATTCATTCACTTGCTGTTCACAATAAGATATTTTTTATTAAATAAAGAAAGACATATTCGAATAATTAAAAATGTATTGTGAAGCTTTTTTTAAAGTTTTAAATGGAATTTTCATGTTTGAACATTTTTTAAAAGAATTTTATTTTCTTACTTTTTCAAATGTAAGATTATTTTTTTTTGTAGTTCAAGATGGAAATAAATCTGTGGCTGCAATCAATTATTTCCATTTTTGTGACACTTTTAGTCTAATTTTAGGGAACGATTTACTTACTCAACTGGCTTACTTTAAAATGTATCATTTTAAATATTGCCACATGATGCAAATAGCACATTCCATTAAGCAAATTATTCATAAATAATCAACAGTGACTGTTTTTTAGTCATCTGTCACTTAATGTCAACTCAGACTGTGTTGACAATATTTTTAAGTAGCGAAGTAATCGTTCTAAGTAACGAGGTTAATTGAAATAAGTGCTGCGTAATTTGTTGCAACTTTTTAAAAATCAAATCAAAAAAATCCAGGCATGTCATGCAAACTGTCAATTTCTGAAGCGCCTCCACATGCCGAGGCCTTCTGTAAGTAGTAGATTTATTCCCCAGCAATCACCCATCTAAGTACTGACCAGGCTCAACAGTGCTTAACTTCAGTGAACGTGCGAAGATCGATGTTTCAACGTGATCGCACCTCATTGGGTGCAATTAAATATTTTATAACATGAAACAGGTATGAAAATAATCAAAAAATAAAAATGCAATGGTGTCTTGCCGTGCACACTAACCTCTTCTCAATGATGTCACAGTGTCAGGACGTCTGTTCACGGGCGGGGTGTTTTTACTTAGCGGAAAATAAATAAATAAATAAATAAAAAGTGTGTATGTATGTTTCGTTTCAATTGAACCGCACAGGGAGTTCAAGACAAATTGACAAATCACGACAGTTTTTTGTGCTTGATGAAATTTCATTAATTTATCAAATACTTTTTTTTTTAATTTTAAAAAAAAATGAAAATTTGAAAGAAAATGAGTCTCTCTACCAATAAATTTAGAGAAGTAGTTTGTCTATTTTAAATTTAAAAATCCAGACTATAATTTAAACATCGGAATGAAGTCTGAAATAATTTTTTTTACAGTTCAATAGTTTTCAAAGAAAAAAATATTTAAATTTTCACTGATGTTATTCTTTGTATTGTACGCGTGGGGGAGTGGGGAGAATTTTTTTTTTAAAAAAAAAAGAAAGAAAATAATAAATACCGTCAACGCTAAATAATTTCTCGCACGTGTAACTACATTCCATCCATGCAGTTGGGCGGTGGTGGTAAAAATCCTAATACACTGAAACTAAAAAGAAGAAAAAAGATGAAAACTTTGTCAGATAGCATGCACACACAAAGACTACTACTTCATTTTTTTGTCTATGCTACCAACGTGTGTAGTCAGTACTAAAATTGATATTGGGGTTCGAATATATGGGTGGCAGTTACTACAGTATTTATGAATTATTTTCAAAACAAAAAGTGACCTGGCAAAAAACCTAGACTGTATGTAAATTTTTTTTTTTAAGTTGAAGTTTTTAACGACTAAAAACTTCAAGTGCAGAGACACTTGTAATGACTTCCTTTGAAAAATAGCATTAAAATTTACCTTTTTAGTTGAAATAGAAATACGAAATTGAATTTTTTTTTTAAATAACCTAAATTAAATATATATTTCCCCATACGAAAGCACGAATTGTGTGGAATCATGGCCAATAAAGGTATCTTTCTTCTTCTTTTTTTTTTTTTCTTTAACAAGGCAGCGCTTTTTCTTTCAGGTTTCCGGAATAGGAGTAAAAAGTAGTTTATGTTTATTAAGGACTAGTAATGATGTACTTGCCACTTTTTTTTTTTTTTTTTTTTTTAAAAAAAAAAAAAAGCATTAAAATAAATGAAAAGAGAACGAGCCCCAAACTTTCTTAAAGTGATGTCGTTTCGGTTTTTACTTTTCAGACCTAAAAACAAAAAACTAAAAGCTTCTGAGTTTGACAGTTTTAAATTCAGTAGTTTTTTTGGGTTTTTTTTTTTTTAAGTTTGTGGATTTGTTTAAGTTAGGCTCTAGTGTTTGCTTCTAAGTTTATAAATTTTATCTTAGGGTTAAATTTAAAAACTAACATTATTAAAATATTTTTTAAATACCAAGTACGTACGTAGTAGGTGCCGCAACGGGCTTCATAAAAATCCAAGAGAAACGCATTTAAAAAAATGATATGTCTTCGAAATTAAATTTTGGTTTTATTTGAAAGAATCTGGATGAAAAGAAAAATAAACTTCCATGTGTAAAAGTTTTTAGGCATCAAAACCTTAGCACATTCATTCGACACTCACCGAACTGTTGATGAAGAAAAACGTAAACAACACATTTAAAAATTTCTTAAAAATCCAGTATTTGTCTTAGAAGTTTCAAAGTAAAATTTAAGAAGCCTAAGAATTAATTAACTCAAACTTTATTTTGTAAAAAAAAAAGTAATGCTTACTTTTTGCTTAAAAAAAAATGAAAATAACGTTTATTCATGCATGGTAGCCCGTTAAATCATATAGATCAATAGAAAAAAAAAAAAAAAAAAAAAATCAATATTTTAAATTTCATCCCTGACTTCAAAAGCGCGCGAAAAATTAAAAACACGTAAGGAACACAAGCACTCCTATAATTAAAAAAAAAATGATATTTATATTTAAAAATAAACTCATAACCTTATATAACCAGTAGTTTAAGAATGTAGTTTTTTTTTTTTTTTCATTAGAATGAATAATTTTAATTTTTTTATACATTAGGAAAAATAATAATCAAAAAAAAAAAAAAAACTAGTGAAATTGTAGTGATTACTACTATGTTTGCCACGCCTACATTTTCCTCAACTGTGATTGGTCAAATAATAAATACTAAATATCACAGGACAATTTACTGATCGCATTCACCACACTGAATTTTTTCTACCGTTAACTCACAAGCATGCTTTTGTTATAAAATCACCGATTGGTTAATTTTTCATCCAATCAGATATTTTTCGTGTTCTTCAAAATTTATCCCGCGTTCGTGCTGGGAGCCACTGATAGTAATATAAGTTCGGATTCATTCCCAAATTAACCAGTAGAGTTGAAAACAGTAGAACTCAACTACTCACACACGTCTACACAGATTATTCATTCTACTCACTCCGCACGCACACACATAGACAGACTCAGAACTTGAATATCACACACCATCAGTTCTTTGTGAACAAGCCAAGTTGCAACAACTCTGTTAGTTACAAAACACACAACTGTACGATCTTCTGAATACACATTCTATTTTAACACAGAACTTTGAACATTATATTCATAAAACTTGCTTATTTAAATATCACCATATTCAACTAACAGATAAAGGGAAACTACTTTTTTCTCCTTATTCACACATTACAAAAATTACCTTGTATTTGTTGTTGATTTTAATATATATGTTTTATTGTTGAAACACAAATCGGTTATCCATTGTTTTTCCTTGATTTTAAAAAATGTATAAATGTTAAATGCTCTTCAACACGCAGCCACATTAATCTTTTCAACAAAACACCATTTACATTGGTAAACCCAACACTTAGAAAAGCAGCATTTACAAAATGATACTTTTGATTGTAATTCATTGATTTTATTTTTTTCTTACCCGTTTGATGTCATGAAATATTTATTTGCACCCAATGTGGTTTTTGTTTTTTAATTATTCTAAATTTAAGAGTTAACTGAATCATATTACTTTTCCTACATGGAAAACAATCAAAGGAGGTAATACAGAAGTGTTTTGTTTTTTGAAATCAGTTGCTAAAATGAAAAAACAAAAAAACAATTTAAATTCTTTTATAAAATGAAATAAAATTATTTTTAAAACAGTTTCACTATTAAAGCATTAAAGTTTACATTTTTCAATTTTACAAATATGCCTTTATTTAATAAAAAGAAAAAACTTGTTACAAACAACAATGGGATTAATTTCAAAATTGTAAGTTTTTTAAAAATAAATATTCAGTGTAGATTTTTTTTTTCTTCAGTGCAATCTGATAGAAAATGATGTGTTTTATTAAATTATGTTTGGGAAAATTCAGGAGATAAAAAGTATAGGTCCCCCTATGTATATGAGATGATTTTGATCCATGTGATTGCTATATAAGAGAGAAACTTTTGATTGAAAGGTCATAATCGTTAAGTCTAGCCTAAGTATGTAGAAGCTGTGATCTGAGAAAAATCACTCACAGCAAAAGATCGTAACAGGCATGTAAAGGTCTATAATTTAATTTGTACTGTACTTATCCAGTATGTATACAAATATTTTTGTCTCATTTTAAAAAAAAAAAAAAAAAATGTTTGTTTTTCCACAAAATTTCACTCTGCATAAGTCTTCTTTTCTTTATATTAGCACCACTAAAAGTATTTACAAATAGAGGGATAAAATTTCCCCCTTTTCATAGGCAATGAGAAACTAATAACTTTCTTATTTAATAATGAATTTATTTTGTGAATGTGGTGTCTTTTGGAGGGAATTCAAAGAAATGCCCACTCATTTTGCTATTGTAGCAGACTGTGGTGGTGTAGATGTAAAGAACACATGTAGGTTAAAATTTCCTGCTAGCCGGCCCAGCTACATGAGAATGTTGGACTTTAATTAAGTCCAAAGAAAACAAACAAGACCGATAAATATATACAAATATATGTATTAAGTACATGGACAGTTACAGTGAGTTTGTGTAGTGTGTGTGTATTGTGGTGAGTGTTTGTACGTATGTGTATTGTTCTTAGCGTGTTCCCAGAATTTGGAAAACGCTGTATCCGTGAGAGCTCATATATATATATGTATAAGGCCCAAGGCCTGAGGGAAAAAAGAGATCGAGGCAAAGGGTCACGCAGTATTTATAGCCAGAGGAGAGAGATCCCTGGTGAAGGGTTAAGGAACTAAAGGAGGAGCTAACTCCAACACTATTTTGTTGAGTTTGTTAAAGACAAAACAAAAAACTCTATACAAGGTGATAGGAAAATGAATACATTTGGGTACAACAATAAGTAATGGCTGGAGTTAATATGTTACATAAAATTGGATACAGTCATTATGTATAAACAAAATTTTGTTTTTGAACTTTTTAAAAGGAAAAGGCGCATAGAAAATTCATTATCAGAATTATTTGCTGCCATAATTAAAATAATGAAATGTACCCCCACCTCATTTTAATCTTTTATTTTGTATGCAATCATAAGAGGCCATTATTCTGTATTTTTACTAGAAAGAGACAAGCTTTTTTTTTTCTTCCTTTGTGGGGTTTTTAAGAAAAAGGTGTTTTGGTTTCTGAATCTTGACTGCAAACGATTAAATATAAACCCTAATTGATTTTTTTTGTTTTTTTTATGCAATATAGAGAAATGATGTCTAAAGGAAAGATCTTCAGTTTGTTTTGTTGATTTTATTGTTGAAATTTTATCCTTGTATGAAGGCAAGGTAAAGTGTTTTATAAATGGCAATACTTCAAAATAATTTGAAAACCCAGGAAAGGTTACATGATACATGGTAAATGGATTATGGTAAATGTGTTCTAAATTCCATGCAAATGATTCTAAATTTTCTTAGAGTTCTAGACTGATCATTAATGGAGAGGGAGCAGTTGACTGGTTTAATAAAACTTGTTAAATGCTCATGTAAACATTTATGAAAACCCCTTCTATAATTTAATAGAATAACAATTTCTAAGAGTGTATAAAATTTGTGTTCAAATCCTTTTGCATTGCATCATTAAATATAAGAATTTTTAATTTATTGTGAGCCTAGATTTGATGATGGATCCTCCAGGTTTTCATTTCAATGTGCTTGTAATAATCTACTTTATTCAGACATTTCAGATGGAGTATAAAATATGCATTTATTTAATAAAATGAAAAAACTCTTGTTAGAAACAATGGGATGAATTTCAAAATTGCAAGTAAGCTTTTTAAAAATAAAGTTTCATCCTTTATACCCACTTGTGTTAACTCCCCAAATAGCCATTTATCTTATATAAAATATTTTATCACATGCAATAAATGAATATTAATTTCTTTCTTGATCAATTTTTTTCTCAACTATTTCATTTTAGATACTTTTTTGTTTTATAAATTATATAATATAAGAACCAGTAACATTTTTTCTTTTTCTATTCTTCTTTTCTGTTTTTTTACTTACAAAAATACTTTCCTGGCTTAAGACAAGATACACCAAAAGCATTATATACAGCCAATAATAAAAATCTCAAAATAGAGATGCCAAATATTCATAATTTGCCAGATTGCCTGC